TGTTCCAGTATTAGCTCCCCCGCGGCCAGGGAGCGGCCTTCCCCCTGCTGCAGTGCCAGCTGTCAAAAGCAGAGCCTGTACAGGCGCTCTTTTCAGACAAAAATGACTATCAGGCCGCCTGTGGTCTCACCATTTCTGATGGAGACCATCCCAACTCGTCCCCTCACTGCCCACCTCCCAGGCCACCTCACTCAGGTTGCAATCGGTGTCTCTCCCTCCCTCTTCAGACCTGGGGCCTCCGGTCCTTGCCCTGATTCTCTCTAGAAACAGCCCCACCCAGGAAGGGGCAAGGTGCTGCCCAGACAACGCCAAGGGATGAGGACAGAGGACCTGAGGATGGGCGAACCTGGTTCTCCAAAGCTTCCCGCGCCCTGAGGGTTCAGACCCTGCGCTGATGCGCTGACACCTGGCCCAGCAGTGGCGTCCTCTCTCCTCCGGTGCCCTCCCCTCCCCTCCCCACTGGGATGGTCCCAGAGGGCTGAAACTAGAGATGGAGGAATGGCACTGCCCAGGGACCCTGCCTGGTTAGCCCCTTCGTGTTCGTCGATCCCTCTCTTCCCTGCTGCAGCCCCCAGCCCACTCTCTCACCCCCGTGTTACAGATGAGGCTGAGCAAATGCGGAGTCAGGTGCTTGTACAAGGTCAGGCAGCAAAGACTCTCCAGGCCTCGGTTTCCTATGCCCCTGGAGAGGATTCAGAGGGGCTGCTCTCTAAGCTCCTCGGGCACCGTCTGCTGGTTTACCTGGACGACAGCCACTGGGGGAAGGACTAAAGCCAGTACAGCCAACGGCACCGCCGAGGGGCCAGGAGCCTGGGAGAGCCAGCAGGGCGGGGCCCCAGGCCAGCACCCTTCCCTTCAGAGCAGTGGTTCTCAACCTTCTGGCCCTTTAAATACAGTTCCTCATGTTGTGACCCAACCATAAAATTATTTTCGTTGCTACTTCATAACTGTAATGTTGCTACTGTTATGAATCGTAATGTAACTATCTGATATGCAGGATGGTCTTAGGTGACCTCTGTAAAAGGGTCGTTCGACCGCCAAAGGGGTCGAGACCCACAGGTTGAGAACCACTGCTTCAGAGGGAGACACCAACCCTTCAGACGGAGTTCCTTTCCAGTTGCTGTTTCAGGTCCCAGATGCTTCCCTAGGGCTATGAGTTTGAGGTGAGGCCGGGCATAAAACTGGCAACTCTCCATGTGCTGTTCCAGGAGAAGTGCGTGTCCATGGGGCCAGGACACTACCCTGGCAGGCGGGTGAGAGCACTGGGGACCCCTCGCACACACCACCAGTGAGGCCTCGGGCAGCAGGGAGCCCTGAGCACACCCTGCATCAGGAGGAGCTGACCCAGAGGGAGGTCAGGGCCAAGGCCAGTTCCAACCTGAAGCTGCTCCAGAGGGAGAGACCGCCCGCTAGACTCACAGAGCATTCCCTCCAGCTCTCCGTTCCCCCAGACACAAGCCCTGTTTGGGGGGACGTGGTTTGTTCGAGAAAGAGACGGGGTAGAGGAGAACCCAGATGTCCTGGCTCAGGCTTCAGGCTTCGCTGAAATCCTCAAACAAGCTGCAGCTGGTGACAGCGCGCCCCGAGCCTACCAATAGACGCCTGCACTCGCCGCCTCCCACAGCCACATCAAAATCACAACTAAAACACAGAGCCGCCACGAAAGCTGGCTGAACAGAAGGCCTACTTTTCATCACAACTAGGAAAGTAAGGAAGAAAGCACACGGAGACTGGTAGGAGGGGTGGGGGTGAGGAACGGCTGGTCTCACACCCGTGTGTGCTGGATTTTTAATCCGGAGGGAGACTGTCTCTGAGAGGCGGCCCGTGAGGAGCAAGGGGTCCCAGCCCAGGGTTCCCGAGCTGGGGGGAGAAGTCCACGCAACTACAGGCTGTCAAAACCATCGGGGGTTGGGGCTGAGTGACACTGAGTCTGCTGGAATCCCAGGTGTGAGGGGCCGGCGCACAAACTTACTCGGTCCACTTCTTCCGAGCTCCAGCGCTGGGGACCCAGACACATACGGGAGGAACTGGGTTGTCTGGCATCAGGGCAGGAACTCGGGGCGGCTTTCTCCCAGAGAGGGGTGCTCGCAAGGGTCCTTGTTCCTGTGCTGGGACCGCCCCTGTTGCAGGGCTGACTGGCAGGCATTTCTGAGTCTCCATCAGCCTGGAGCACACTGTTTGCTCCGCCCTAATGATTCCCTGAGACCCCGCCCCATCCAATTTGCAGGCCCACCCCAAGCTGTTTGCAGCAGCTTTTCCATATGAATAGCCTGTCCTGCCTCAGGCTTCGGACAAGCTGCAGCTGGTGACAGCTGCCCCAAACCTATCAATAAAAGGCCCAAGACCCGGCTCTAGCACAGCAGCTCTCCCACTATAGTCACAGCTGGTCCTCACAGCCAATTGGCCTGGAGGTCAACTCCTCCCAGAGACGCCAACAGCAATCAAGGCTCAACTACAAGACTGTGCACACAGCCCACACAGGGGTGCACCTAGAGCGCCCACTGAGGTGACTGGGGAGGCTGAGCCACTGGGCCCTAAAGCACCTACTATACAGGCCACTCTACCAACTCCAGGAGACATAGTAGTTCTACCCAATACACAGAAACAAACACAGGGAAGCAGTCAAAATGCAGAGACAAACATACCACAAATGAAAGAAATGGAAGCAAGCAAACTACTGGATACAGAGTTCAAAACCATGGTTATAAGGTTATAAGGTTATAATTCGTGCACAGCTGGGGTCCCCCGATGGGGGGTGGTGATGGGGAACAGGACGGCAGAGGGGATGGGCAGCAGGCGGTTGGCCAGCCGTGCCTTCACTCCCCACCTCCCCACCCCCCCACCCTCCCACGGTCGAACTCCTAGTTCAGGGGTCCCTCAAACTACGGCCCGCGGGCCACATGCAAATACAAATATTGTATTTGTTCCCGTTTTGGTTTTTTACTTCAAAATAAGATATGTGCAGTGTGCATAGGAATTTGGTGATAGTTTTTTTTTTAAACTATAGTCCGGCCCTCCAACGTTTGAGGGACAGTGAACTGGGCCTCCTGTTTAAAGATTTGAAGACCCCTGTCCCAGTGAACTTCCCTGTCGAGGGGACATTTTGTATATTAGCCTTTTTCTACTAGGATTGTGGGAGGGGATTATTTTAGAAGAGAGGAAAGATAAAATAT